TCAGATCCCTTCCGACCCTAGAAACTATGAAACTATGAAGCCCTAAACAAGCAGCAGCAGTGACAGACCCCAGCATTACCAGATCCTTAAAAAATACATAATGAAAAACCTAGCACTGTTAAACAAAAGCATACAGGTGACAATCTGTAATTCGTCTTCTCCAGTTCTGTGTGGCTTTCTTACTAAAAGGGAAAAACATGAATGTCCCCTGCCAAAAAAAGGTAAGCCATGGAAACAGTAATTGATACCTCCTCCTAACTAGACACTGAACCACTGATAACTATTCATTGAGTATGATGATCCCACCTGACATGTATTCACTATACAGTACTTTCATCTAGTCTGTATTTCCTTGGTTTGCTAATGACAATCTCATGAGAGCACCAATAAAAAGGTATCATATCTGAACCAAGAGGTTTAGATTTTTGCTCCATCTGCTGAGCCTGTCACCTTATTATAGAAGGAAATCAAATGAGTAAGGCATGATTTGCTCTTACTGAATCCATGCTCACTGCTCCTGAGCACCTTGTTCTTGTTCTTCTCCACATGTTTCACAATGGATTCCTCAGGGACCTACTCTATGCTCTTTCTAGGTATAGAGATGAGACTGCCAAGACAGTAGTTCCCTGGATCCTCCTCCTTCCCTTTCTTAAAGATAGGGACTATACTTGCTCTTTTCTTGTCATCTGGAATCTCACCTGGCCTCCAGAAATTGTCAAAGAGGATAGTCAATGGCTCCAAAATTACCTCAGCCAATTTCTTCAGTACCCAAGGGGGCACCCCAGCCAGCCCCACACACTCAAAAGCATTTAGCTTCTCAAAGTAATCCCCAACCTGCTATGCCATTACTTTAGGCAGTTTGTCTCCTTCCCTACTTTTGCTGCCAACGGCGCTCATCTGGTAGCCGACTGTGAAAACTAAAGTGTAAAAAGGCATTAAGCACATCAGCCTTCTCTGCTTCATCTGTAAATATGCCTTCCACATTCCATAAGGGACCTAAGGTTTCTCTGGTCTTCCTCGTTTCTGACATACTTGCAGACTCCTTTATTGCCTTTTAGGTCCCTTGCCAGCTGCATCTCAAATAGCAGTTGCAACACACTCCCTCTGAACTATATGGAAACAGAAAGGGAACTGAAGGAGATCAGCCCACAAATGTAAGGGGAGGAGAAGGAAGAAGCTAGGAGCTGCCCACATTGTGTCTTCTTATGACAAATTATTAAAATAAAAACTAATGAGAAACCAATTAGTTTTAAAGGATAGCATGCATGTGACCCTTCGCTAATCCTGCTAGGAAGGACCTGTATCTCTTTCCCTCCCACCTCTTGCAAAGCCAACTAAACTGTTCAATGAGCAACTATTAATGAAATAACAGGCATATTTTGCTTCTGCTATAGTTAGGTCCATAGAGAGGAGAGAAACATATTCATTTTGCATGTGTTGCCAGTCAAGAAAATACTTCATTTACACACAAAAACAGAAATACTTCATTCAAAAGAAATTGCAGTCAATTATATTATGAAACCAAAGGCTCTGCTAAATCTTGATCACCTGCATAAGAGGTACACTAGTCTTCACCTTTTAGAGCCCCTCATTGTCTGTCTGAGCCTACCTCTTGCCTCTTATGTTCTGCTGTAATCCTGCCTCTGAGCCAATACAGTAGTTAACACAGCACCACTTAGAAACTTTTACCTTTGCTCTTTACTTCCATTTTCAGGCCTGGCCTAAATTCTTGTTTAACTTAAAATCTTAAGGATTTACCAAAATTTAGGTTCTAAAAGCAATTAACTAATATTTTAACCTTCTTGAGAGGAAGTTAAAAGATTGGAAAAATGATTAATTGACAGTGGAAAGGATTTTCAATTAACAACTTCTAAAGAATTTTTATATAACTCCTATTTAACTTTCCTCTACATTTTTAGGGAGGGAAAAAAAAGCCTTTGCCAGCAAAACTTTAAAAAAAAATTCCCTTTCAATTTACATGAGACCATAGGATACCACAAAAAGCTTGGGGGGGGGGGGG